TCGGGGGCAGGGGGGCCCCCCCGGCCCGCAGCAGGGGCTGCGCCGGTGCTACCTCTCCATGGTGATCTCCCAGTAGGTTTCAGCAGAGAGGGGGATCCAGCTGATGCCGTGTGTGGTGTAGGAGGAGTCGATGGCACCGAAGAGGACAAAGCTGCCGCTCTTGTCATCTCTGCAAGGGGAGAGCTGTCAGCTGGGGGGTCCCACCCCACCGCCACCCTGATGCCAGTGCCACGGCCGAGGGGGGCTTCGCTGCCATCCTCCTCCGCCGGTCCTGATGCCGTGATCCCCACCAGCCACGGGGCACCACGCCAGAGCCAGCCCAAGGGGGAGGGAAACAGGAGAAAAACCCGGCCAAGGGCTGGGTGGCTCCGGCCAGGGCTTACCCGCTCAGGTAGACAGAGAAGAGGTCCTTGGCCACCAGGTCTTCACTCATCATGTTGTCGAAGACAGGGGTGGCTCCGGAGGAGGCGATGCTGGGGAAAGCCAGCCCCAGGATGCCATCGAAGGGGCTGTAGTAGAAGATATCACCGGGCTCGGTCTCAGCCAGCCCGAAGATTTGGTCGGTGACCTTGATGTCCGCAACCTGGTTGGGGAGAGGGAGAGAGGGAGAGGGGCTCAGTGCTGGTGGGAGCTGCCCCAGTGTCCCCGCTCCCGTGGGACGGGGGGGCTGGGATGCCCGGCCTTACGGTGACGGTGTCATAGCCCAGGATGCCAGTCATGCTGCCGGTGCCGTATTCGATGGAGAGGCTGTCGTTGGTGCTGACGAAGGTGGAGGAGTCCGACGGGTCGAAGCGGTTGTGGTCCTCTGTGGGGGTGGGAAGGGGAGAGTGATGGTCCATCCTGTCCTCACGGACCAAGGAGGACCCTCCACAGCCTCCCCCATCGCCCGACGTCCCTTGGGAGAGCCAGGGCAGAGCCGTCCTCGGCTCCCAGCCCTCCCAGGGGCTCCCAGCGCCAGGCAGGGCAGCGAGCTGGCCATGCCCGTGCCTTTCCCTGCCTTCACCCCTCGCCCGGCGCCCGCGGGGCTGCTGGACACCTACCGCAGGCTTCGCTGGTGCAGTAGACTGAGGGCACCCATAGGTTGGAGGAGCCGGTGTCGAAGACGACGGTGAACTTCTGAGCCGGGGTACCGATGGAGATGGTGCCGTAGTACTCATTCTGTGCAGGTGGGATGAGAGAGGGGTTAGTGGGGGGGCTAAGGGGCTAGCAGGATGGCTAAGGAGCTAGTGGGATGGGTAAGAGACTAGCAAGATGGGTAAGGGGCTAGTGGGATGGATAAGGGGCTAGTGGGATGGGTAAGGGGCTAGAAAGATGGGTAGGGCATTAGTGGGATTGATAAGGGGCTAGAAGGATGGATAACAGGCTAGTGGGATGGAAAATGGGCTAGTGGGATGGATAAGAGGATAGAAAATTCAGTAAGAGACTAGTGGGATGGGTAAGGGGCTAGCAGGTTGGATAATGGGCTACTGGGATGGGTAATGGGTTAGGGGGACGGGTAACGGACTAGTGGGTCAGGTAAGGGGCTAGTGGGAAGGGTAATGGGTTAGGGGGATGGATAAGGGACTAGTGGGTCAGGTAAGGGGCTAGCGGGTTGGGTAAGGGGCTAGTGGGATTGGTAAGAGGCTAGAAAGATGGGTAAGGGGCTAGAAAGATGGGTAGGGCATTAGTGGGATTCAGAAGGGGCTAGAAGGACAGATAATGGGCTAGTGGGATGGGTAAGAGGCTAGAAAGATGGGTAAGGGGCTAGGAGGATGGATAATGGGCTAGTGGGATGAATAAGGGGCTAGAAAGTTCAGTAAGAGACTAGTGGGATGGGTAAGGGGCCAGCAGGTCAGTTAAATGGCCGGTGGGACGGGTAATGGGTTAGGGGGACAGGTAAAGGACTAGTGGGTCAGGTAAGGGGCTAGTGGGAAGGGTGAGGGGTTAGGGGGATGGATAAGGGACTAGTGGGTGAGGTAAGGGGCTAGCGGGATTGGTATGAGGCTAGAAAGATGGGTAAGGGGCTAGAAAGATGGGTAGGGCATTAGTGGGCTTGACAAGGGGCTAGAAGGATGGATAATAGGCTAGTGGGATGGGTAAGAGAGTAGTGGGATGGGTAAGGGGCTAGTGGGATGGGTAAGGGGCTAGAAGGTTGGATAATGGGCTAGTGGGATGGATAAGGGGTTAGGAGGACAGGTAACAGACTAGTGGGTCAGGTAAGGGGCTAGCGGGTTGGGTAGTGGATTAGGGGGATGGGTAAGTGGCCAGTGGGTCAGTTAAATGGCCAGTGGGATGGGTAAGGGGCCAGCAGGACGGGTAAGGGGCCAGCAGCCCCGTGGGCGCCGCGCTGTGCTCACGTCCAGGTAGTTGGTCAGGGGCTCGGAGGCGAAGCTGGTGGGGAAGTACTTGGCGGCCCGGTTGTGGGGGTGCTCCTTCAGGTAGCGTTCCAGCAAGCCCTGCTCCCGCAGCATCTGCCGCAGGG